TCAAATACTCAAAGAAACCCAACTATTCCTTATGATAAAAATAAATACAACTAAAATAATGTTCTGTATTATTAGATATTAAGTGACACCTCAGCCATGAAGACCACATGACAGGTTGAGAGTTCTCAGTGCTTTGTGGGACCCCTACCTTTGTCACTGTCCTTCCCATTCTCCAATGATTACATCAGATTTCCACTCTGAAATCACCCCAAACACAAATTCTTATTTTTTGCAAAGTAGACCTGCCTGATGTTTCCACTAAGACATGTAATGTTATCAATAAGCTATCCCTTGTGGGTGCTTCAAATAAGAAGTGAAATGTAAGACTTTTAAGAGGGCCCAGATTTTCTTGAAAGGCCAATGAGACCATGTCTGTTCAGCCAGTGAATAAGAAACTCAAGGACTCGAGAAGGTTCATTGGTAGTTTTCGAACAACCAAAGTTGGGGGGGGGGTCCTGTTTCATTTTCACTGAGAAGAGGTATAAAAAGGAAAGGTTTATACTAAGGCAAAAGAATTCAGACTACAGAGCAGTTGGCAAGGACTCCCAGCCTAAAGAAAGACATAGCAAGAGAGACTACTTCTCCAGAGGCTTTGAAGAAAAGGCAAACAAGTAGCCTTTGTGAATTGCTTAAAAGTAGGCACAGATTCACCCACGTACAAGATGATGCCCTTTCCTACATTAAGAGTTCCAAACTGCTATAGCATTTTTATGACTTCTTTGCTTTTATGCTGAGAAAATGTTTCACCCACCCAACAGCAGATAAATATCAACTGTATTTTAGATTTGCATTTTTTACATTTAATTCTCTAATTCAGCTGGAATTTATCCTGATGAATGGTATGAGAATGGTCTTCATATTTTTCCCCAAAAGTTTTTTCAGTTATTCTAGTGATTACTAGTATATTTATAACTAGCTTAGGTATTTTGTTATAGCCAAGGAATATCTAGAATTCCCCTAAATTTCCATCATTAAGGAGTATCTAACCCCACTTTAATCTGACAACCTTGATATAACAGCAGTCATTTTATTTGGAGGTGATTCAACATCCTTAACTTGGCTATCTATATCTTCAAAAGCTCCAGCCATAAACCCTGGGCTCTGAGAGCAGAGAGTACCACCAGCAAGAACCTTGCACTAACATGGGCAAGAGCCCTCTATCTGGTCAAGCACACCAACTAGGAACTCTTTGGAAAAAAAAAAAATTGTTTTCCCTTAAGAATTACAGTGGGATGAGGACCTTGAGATAATCTGAAGAACATAAGAGCAAGAGGTAATAAGGCAAAGATGGCACGAGTCTCCAGAAGATCTCCGAGAAGTCGTTAGATAAAAGAACCAAAGAATGGAAAATCTACCCTTATAAGATGTTTCCAAATTAAAAAACCCAGAAGATCTCAACTATTCAGTTGGATATTCCAGTGTACAATCAACCTGGTGAATTTCAATGGCCATTTTCTAAACTTCATATTTAGGAAGTAGGGAACAGCAAAGAACTACTCCATTTTGCAGCCACCTCACAAATAAACCAGGAGCCAGAAGCCCAACTGCCTGCAGGAGCAGACAAAAGGAATAAATGAGCAAAGGGAGTCACTGGGAACTGGGCTTGAGAGTCTGAGAAGCAGTGGCAAACATCGGAGAGGTTGCAAATCAGAGTTCACGTCTCTGGAACACTTGCTCCTTCTAGTGGTGGCTCTAGCTACAGAGACGCAGCTGTCTGTGTCCAGGAAAATTCAAAACCAGAACTGCCAGATATGCCAGTTTTTCTCTTCAAAGAGTCATAAATTCTTTAGGTAAGTTTCCTGTTTTTCAAGTTTGCAAATCAATTAAGTTTTCTTTTTAAAACACAAAGGTCAAACCATATGTATCTATCAGTCAGAGACAGATACTTCTTTGGCTCAGAGATCACTAATGCAGGAGTTCAGATTTTAACATTAATCCACAAGTCACCCAACTGTCCTAACACCATCTCCCACCCTTCTGTGCTTCCTTTGTCTCCCTTTTTCCTCGATATGGCAAATTATGGCAGGCTACACAGCTCACTGAGTTCCAGGGTATATGTGGAGTGTGAGTGAAGAATACTAGACCACCTCATTCACCCCATTTAAGAGTCAGCCAAATTCTGGTCTTAATAAGAAACTGCCATTTTGGAAATGAAGATGAATTACTATACAGTCATGTTGTTAGGTCAGACTGTTGACCCAAATGAAATCATTTTAGTTCAAAAATATTGTTTTTTTCTTTAAGAACTCTCAGATGTTTTGCTTCACTATCAATGACTAACGGCTCTCAAGGTCACAGGTTTTGCATCAGGCTGGTTTATCTCATTCTAGAAGTAAAGGAATAAACCTTAAAAAAATCCATTAATTAAACTAAAAGTCATTTCCACTGAAAGTGCTGTAGAATTTTTAGCTTCTATACAAAGTAGACTGATTATCTACTTTATTACTTACTTATCCAGTAGCATCCTACTGTAATCCAAGTAAGTCAAAAGGTTTGAAGAAATGAGTCAACCCCACTAAGATTCAACCTATGTATCTGGCTTGTACATACCCATATATAGATTACCTTTTACCAAAGACTTTAACAGGATTGCTAAACCAGATGATTTTTGTTAATCATATAGTGATCAAGTTATGATAATCTAGAAGAGAAATAGAACATTTCTGCTTCTTCTTTGACTAAATAGGATTTAAAATAAATGGTTTTCAATGGAGACTATCTTATACATGTTCACTTGAGAAGGACTGCATCAGAGAAGGTTAATACATTTTGACAATCCACACACATTATTCTTACTGATACCAAACTGCCATAAATTCTCCATTCTGTCCATCTTTCTCTAAACCCTGTATAAGTAATATTTTAGAGGGTGGCCGATTCTGATATCAACTTGGAAATAATCAGCTTTAATTCCTAGGTGAGATCAAAATGGACAACAGTGGCATAACGGACCAGTAATGTCATGAACACAACTGATTCAAATAGTAATTTATTTTCTAAAAAAAAGTTCCAAGTACTTGGGTTTCCAAACCAGATCATTTTTACCATAGAACATTATGAAAATGGAAAATGAGACGAAAACCTAAGAAGTAATTTTTAATCCAGTCTTTAGGGTCACTTGGGTCATTCAGTTGGTTAAGTGTCCAACTCTTGGTTTCAGCTTAGGTCATGATCTCAGGATTGTGTGATCAAGCCCCACATCAGGCTCTGAGCTCAGTGCAGAGTCTTCTTAAGACACACTCTCCTCTCCTTCTGAACCTCCTCCCTACTCGCACTCTCTCTCTCACTCTGTCTCCAAAATAAATAAATAAATTTTAAAAATACAATTCTTAGAATTCTTATTTTACCAGTGGCAGGATGGTAGTAAGTGGCTAAAATGATAATTGGTTCAATGAGTCCATTTGCATATTAAAGAGCAGCAAGTATTTGTCATTAGACATGATGTTCAAAAGGACAGAAGCCCTCGATCCTCTTTGGTTGAACACAAAATACCAAGACGACCAGTGGTCTCAAACTCCAGTAACAGGTCTAATAATTTCATATGTTCCCAATATTAATCTCTTAAAAAACACTCATTCTTATGCACATGATTTACAGTTTGTTGTGTTTTGTTCCTTATCAGAAAACCTACAGAATCTTAAAATTTAAAGTACTGTAAGATCAGGTACATTATTCAAATATTGCTGATACTTTATTTTATGAGGATACTATGGCCGCAACCATACTTTCTAAGAAGAAAATAAGATGGGAAGAGGAGAAAGGGAAGAGAAGGGAAGGGAAAGATGGCTAAACCCCACAGTACTCAGGAAAAAGAGTATGCAACCACCCACAAATTTACATAACAGAGCATGATACTGACACAATGATATGGTCATTAAAATATTTTGACAATAATACAATAATATTTATTGAACAATCACAATAGCAACAGGAAAATCTGATATCCAACAAGAAAGGAATAATATAAAAAAGACCTATAGCAATAATGTGGATTGTTTTTCCTTTCTACCCTGCTTTTTTGATAATGTAAATTCTGAAGTATAGATCTATGTGAAGAATAGGAACAAGTTTCAGAGAATGATAAAGTTACTATATTCATTTGTCATGTCACAAATAACAAATAGTCCTACAAAAACCTGTTCCTTCTATGAAAGGAAATTAGCTTTCTAAATGAAAATACATCTCCCATAACTTGACTGTTCATGAAGGCATATCCAGAGTAGTAGATTTACTCTGAACAGTAAATGTCAAATTTACATTCTTCTCTACCACAGAAGTTGTACTTTTTGGTATAAAAATGACAACAGTATATTACTCTTTCTTAAGAAGTAAAAACTATTGGCCCTCACTTTGAGTTTCCTGACAGAGCTCAACCATTTTCTTTTCCTCCTTCATAGAGTAGGACAGCAACCAGGCAAATACCTCATCAGTTTTTATCTCAAAAATGCTATGGAGGGGCTCCTGGGTGGCTTAGTCAGTTAAGCATCTGTGTTCAGCTCAGGTCATGATCCCAGGGTCCAGGGATGGAGCTCCACATCTATCCATCCTTCCTTGTCATCATCGTCCGTTGTTGTCATCAGGCTCCCACCTCAGCAAAGAGCCTGCTTCTCCCCCTGACCCTCACCGCACTCATGATTGCTCTCTCTCTCGCACTTTCTGTCTCTGTCTCTCTCTCTCAAATAAATGAATAAAATCTTTTTTTTAAGATTTTTTATTTACTTATTTGACAGGCAGAGAGGTGGGTGGCGGGGGTGCCAAGAAGGCAGGCTCCCTGCTGAGTAGAGAGCCTGATGAGGCTCGATCCCAGGACCCTGAGATCATGACCTGAGCCAAAGGCAAAGACTTAACCCGCTGAGTCACCCAGGCACCCCAAGGAATAAAATCTTTAAAACAAAAACAAATATGCTATGGAGGTTTGACTAATGGACGTCTCAAGACAGAAAAAATGAAATGATTCAATGTCAATAACACAGACACATGTTCATTATATTCCAACTTACCTAATACACTGACAAAGGCATCAAAAAGATGAAATGTAAGTAGAGGCTCTTTCAAGTGACCATAGTAATCTGCTATGGTTTTAAAGACATCTTTTTCAAATCCTAAATACATAGGCTGCTTCAAATCTGAACAATTAGGCCCTGTTAGAAAAAGAGAGAGAGAGAGAGAGAAAGAAACATTAACGGGATGACCACGTCAAAGGATTAGTCTCTATGCATATGTATGGTATGTACAAATAACAAGATCAGATAAGTTGGGGGAAATTAGTATTATCTAAGTTGACATTATATATTTGCTTACACAAATATTCTTTATGTCTAAATGATAATTATAAAACAGTGAGGAAAATCATGGCTTACTTGCATTTTAAAAGAAACCTACTCTTTCTTTTACAACCTTCTGAAAGACATTTTTGTTCAATGTAGATGATGATATTCATTTTCCTAGTCTTGACACAGTTGATCAAGATGATAATTAGCTCACATATGTAATAGCAAGTTATATAGCAATTTGAAAATTTTTTCATTATTTTATCATTGCTGTATTATGAAATCCTAGAGTCAGAGCTGAGTTAATCAAATTCTACCTTGAACTAAACTACTTCAGACTAATAAAAACTTACTCTTTTTCTTAAAGATATTCAAAAAAGACGATTTTAACATTGTGTCCTATAATTCATTCTAACTATAAAACTCACTATCTGATCTCCAACCAACCTTCAAAAGTTAGTGTATCAAGCAGGGCATATTCCAAAGTTGCAGTAACACTAAGAAGCCTGGAACAATGTGGCCCCAGCCATACCCTAAGCAGAAGCAAGGCAAAGATTCTGTTGTATCTGGGACCAAAGAAGAACAAGAAGAAATGCATAGCTCTCTACAGAAATGGCAGCAAACGCCCCCCAAGAAACCATGCACAGACCACAGATTTACATTACCAAGTGGAGAGACAAACCGGAGCTGCCCATGCCTTGAGGGAAATGGCAAGCAGCTTCATGAGGAACAGTTTGGCCAGTCCTCTCAATTTCCATGACAGCATGGAAGGAATGCAAGTGCACTGGTCAGTTCTGGGCCTGCAGAACACAAGACTAAACAACTAGACGCAAACAGATCTCTGTTCTCAGGGAAACAAAAGATAAACCAATAAAGTTGAAAGAAACCCTTCCTTCAGAATCACTCCAACTAAAGAGAAAGGATCAGACCAAAAAAACCAGTAAAACATTCTGGGCCTTTACATTTCAAGGCCAATGGGACCACATGAAAATGGCTTTTTATTGGTCTCCTTAAAAACCCTCTTACCTTTCAATATTCTGTATACTTCTTATAAAATAACTCAATTTGATTGACTAAAATGAAAATAACAAAAGACCTATCTGTGGTACCATGTTAACTTAGCAGCCAACAGAGCCACCATTCTTGCTTGCTTCCTCCTCTGAAATACCCCAAGCTTAGTCAATTAAAATCATTAGGTTGGTATGACTCAGCAAGCAATCCACATTGTCTTGAATTACTCCCTTCCAGATAAGTAAGCAATTCATGGTAAGCGGTTGTGAGCAGTGTGTAAGCAGTGTCCCTTTATGAACATTTCATCATTCTTGTTAAAAACATGCACAAACAAAACAAAGTTTCCATAAAAATATAAGTGCACAGTGGGCCCTATGAGAGGAGGTCATATTTCTAAGACTTTTTGCTTCTTAATCATCTTCTGAAGCAAAAAGTCTTCAGAATATCTTTTATATCATCTTCAGAATATCTTTTATAAATGTTTTTACTGACTGATCTTGGAGAAGTGTTGCCTGTATCTGTTTTTTTTTCTTTTCTTTATTGAATCCTTATAATCTACATGCACAAAGAAGAAAAACACAGTTAACCTGTTTTTATATTTACTATCAGTCCATCATTCTGTGGCCAACCATGAGGCTGGCCAACAATGAAAGTACCCAGACCTACGTGTATATTGGTCTACCAATGGGCCTGCGAGAAAAAGGGGAGTAGCAAATTTGCAGAAAAGGAGGCAGAGGCCTTCAAAATATCCTGTAAATCAGCCAGCCTATCCTTTCTGTTGTCCCCTATTAGATGACTTTAATGGGAAACTTGCCTCAATAAGGATAAGAAGGAAAAGGAACAGGTCATGACTTTGAAAGACTCAAGTAAATTTGGGAGGCCAATGAGAACTTGGAAAACTTAATAATGTCACAAAACTATTCAAAAAGACATGCTTGCCCTTTGGTCACCTTTTTTTTCCTTTGACACACAAACAAGCATTCTTACGGATATGCCAACCACCTGCAAAGCACTGCACTCAATTCACGTGAGCCATGTCCCTGTTCCTGAGAACTTCCACCTAATACAAGACACCTCACACATGCAGAGAACATTGTGAAGTTGCTCTTTACATCTTTCCCCTCCATTGTTGAGTAATTCCAGTTAGTCTATTCTTCTTTCAGAAGTTTTTGTGGCTTTATGTTTACTACTCCCTTGAGGGAAAAATTGTACTCTTCACTACATTTTGATCATCACTGAAAAATCTATATCACAACCACATCTTCATATGCATTACAGAACATATTGTAGCCTAGATTTGTTACCAGTTTCCTCTATTCTTTCCCAGCTGATGAACTTCCAAATCCTTGGTTTGCCAGGAATTCAGAAATGGGTAATTTAACTTTGCATTTATACCTTCTATTTCATCATTGCCAACTCTGGCCAAAGATATAATTTAAATTTAATTTACTTCAAATAGTTGAGCAGGAAGAATAAAAAGCACTTTCCCAAGCTGAACCACTCTACATCTTAGAGTTTCCAAAATATTAAGCAAAAACCAATGAAAATTTAATAGTTAAACACAGAAAACTTTAGACTTCACACAAGCTAATAATTGGTATTCATATTTAAAATGATGGTATATAATCATTTTCCATATACTATGACTGAGATTACCTAAAATAAACTGCATAGTTACCTTAATTTCATTCTATAATCAGACAAAACTAACACCAGATAAATAAATCATTCAGAGTCTACAAATTCAAAATTTTATTACACTTACATATGTACATGCTACCAAAAGGTTCCTTTCTGAGGCCATCTGTGAGGCTTAAAGACCCCATAGACCAAATATCACCATTATTAGTCAGCAGCCAAAATAACTGGAATTCTTATTAAAATCCCTTGCTTTTGTTAAGCCATTTACCATTAGAATCCCTTCTTTGGGTTAAACCTTTTAAAAAATACCCAGAAAAATGGCAGTGTTAGTGAAATACTATAATACACATTCTTTACAGTGCCTATGATATCCAGTGAAGTGAATATCTATGCCCATGAAAGGGACTGTGGAAGCCTATGCAAATCCTCAGAAGGACCACCACGATTCAGGCCCCATCATCTTACATCCAATAACTGAAATATCCCTTGTTTCTCCACATCAAAGTTCTCCTCCTTCCAAATCATCCTGCTTTTCAATCAGCCTAGTCTTCTGAAACACCTCTTTATGTCAATAGTAGATTGTGTCAATAGTAGATAGTAGATAGGATCTGCTGAGCACACTGAGATGTAAATACACGGTATAATTTGAGAATATGTGTTTTAGAAATTAAAAAAAAAAAGAGGTTTTAAAATTAAAAATGTATAAACTGTCAACAGGCAGCTATCTGTAGAACATTATATTCAATATAACTAATTTTTCTTCACTGTGATGAAACAGTCAGAAGACGTACTACGGATTTTATCTGTCGTAGGATTATATTCACCAGAAAAGAGAAGAACAACATTCCTTCAAAAATGTTCTGTAACTCAGCCCTTTCACCAAGTCACAAATTTACTAAAAGCACACTGGTCCCAAAATAATTAACTGTCAGTCTCACAGGTGCCAAATCAATGTTCAGGCCATTGAACAAAACTATTTTCTAATTCAGGACACTAATTTCTGTTAATCTTATAAAACAGGGGATAATTAGTACTTACAATTTGCCAAACACTTCATAGCTGACAGTACCCAATGAGGAAGCTCTTCTGCAGAGAAATGAAAATAAAAAGATTATCTGATTCACTGCATATAACTCAAGGAATTATATATGTACACAGAATCATAAGAATGTATAACCTGCCCAAATAATATGAACATATGCCAATCATAAATCGCACATCACCTATTAATAGAACGGCATGTTTAAGCACTGGAAAGTTTTCCTAGGAGCAGTGTCACAACATGGACTTGTACAGATCATGCTTGTAAATTTCACAAAGGACAAGATGCACCTTTTAAGCTTTGGTGAAAAGCAGGAATTTGATAGTTTATTCTGAAGAAACAAACAAACTAACCAGATACCCTAAGAATTAAAGAAGGAAAAGACAAGAAGTAAAAAATATAAGTTAACAACTATATTTGTGAATTCAGTTCACCAACCCCCACCCCAAAAAGGGGTAAATTCTCTATGTCCATTGTTCAATATAAGTATCATTTTGCATGTTTCAATTTTCAAAATGTTTTAGGCAAGGAATTTTCACGGACAGACTAATACAGGCTATTAGTTTTGGGGCAGCCTTAAAATAATAACTTTTAACATTGCTACAAAAAATCCCAGCTGAGCCTTTTTCCTGAGTTCCTTCCCTCCTGGTCCTGACACAGACATCTGATGAGATGGCCCTGCATTCATGCTTCTACTTCTCCATTTCCTTCACTCTGTGAAAAACCGAAAAGACACTGGTCGAACTGTATTAACTCTAATGAACCTGAGGCTTGTGGAAGTGCTCTTCTTTCTAAGAACTTGGTAAGACAAAAGATGACCGATCATCTAATTAGTAGGTAAAAGTATTAATGTTTGCTCTACTCAAAGAATGTGGAAGGATTTTAGATGTATTTCAAAGGCAATATCCCCATCATTCTATGTAATTTAATTGTATAGGTTGATATTAACCTGACAACTCACAAAGTCATAAATTTATTTCTGTTTGCTTGGGCCCTCCATTCCCAATATAAAGGCTACATAAAAGAGGAGGTGTTTCAAGTTTCAAAGACACATTCTGCTCCTGTCAGGAATCAGGACCTAGAAAAACCCCTTTCCCTTTCACAGCTGCTCAGGCTCCTTCAGGTAGAGTTCTGTCTTGCTGGCCAAGAGCCTCCAGCCCTAAATTTAATAATAATTTATAAAAACCTAAAAGTACTGTACCATCTTCCCACATCCAAATGTCATTCTAGTTCCAGCTATTCCCAGAATCAAGGGTTGGAAGTAAAAAGAACCTTTCCAAAAAATCCATCCAATTCTGACCCATCCCCAATTCAAGAGAAGAAAGCTTTAAAATCAGTTTGGGGATTCTGGCCCACTATAGGTACTGTATCCTTATTTTTCCAAATTAAAAAAACAGGATAGGCGGCTGCTAAATGTCTTTTTTTCCTGACTTGTAAACTGGCTTGGAAGAAAAGGTATTAAAAAATTAAAGCACCTTCAGCATTTAAAGGGCTACCTTTATTAACAAGAAAAAAAAAATGACATAAGACTGTTCCAGAAAATCTACCACAGAGACACCATAATGAAAAGGTCAGTGAGAACCAAAAATCAATCAGATCCACTTGAAACCTAAAATCACTTTCCAAGATCCAGTCAGTCACAAACTGACTCAAGCACTCAGGTCTTAAACTTACTTTTCAGGGATTTTTCCGTGAATACAGAATTAATGCTCAGTGTGGCTAACATTGAACTAGCCTCCAGATGGATTGTGCTGAGGCTTTGACTCCTGGATGTTCATCTTTCCTCAACACTTCCTTAATCCACACAATTATTTAAAAGGCATGAGATAGTGAGACAAGGCTATACATAATGAGGGGGTACATTTATTGAGGGTTTAGGGAAGGGTCAATAAACAAGCAGATGGACCTGTGCAGCCAACATAGTGGGTCAAATGGGACCAGAATGGTTTTTATGTACTTACTTGACTTGTCATCAAGGATGACAACTCCCTGCTTGCTCACACTATACACATTATGGATGATGAACTTGGAGTTAACCAGTTTAATGTCTAAGACTTCTTCCAAAGAATCCAGGCCAAGGACTTTCTGTAAACTGGAAAGATATATAATTAAATTAATTACTTTTTTAAAAAAATTAATATTACCCACGAGTGCCTGGGTGGCTCAGGGGGTGTAAGCCTCTGCCTTCGGCTCGGGTCATGATCTCAGGGTCCTGGATTGAGCCCCATGTCAGGCTCTCTGCTCGGCCAGGAGCCTGCTTCCCCCTCTCTCTCTGCCTGCCTCTCTGCCTGCTTAATAAATAAATAAAATCTTTAAAAGAATTAATTAATTAAAAAAAATATTACCCAAAAACCTGGCATGTAAAAGATCAATCTTTAAAATGTGTCATTTTCATGCATTTTATCCACTCTTTGGCAAAAAGGCTAGAAATTTAATATGATGAAAAAAATTTTTAACTTTGTTACCTGTAGTATAACAAATATCTAGAAGACCAAATTTACCATTGTGTTCCATTAAACATCAAATTTCAGGGTTACTAGAAAGCTCAAGAACTTTTAAATTTCTATTCTTAACTATTATATAAATGACAATAGAAAATTTCCGGAATTCAATTAAATTATGTTGGCTAAACAGCATAGCTACAAATAATACAAAGATTTTATTTTTTATTTATTTATGTTTTTAAAAGATTTTATTTATTCATTTAACAGAGAGAGACACAGCAAGAGAGGGAACACAAGCAGGGGGAGTGGAAGAGGGAGAAGCAGGCTTCCTGACAAGCAGGAAGTCCCATGCGGGGATCGACCCCAAGACCTTGGATCATGACCTGAGCTGAAGGCAGACGCTAAATGACTGAGCCACCCAGACGACCCTAATACAAAGATTTTAAAATATAATTTCAGAAAATTAAATATGCAGAGAGTAATAGAGAAGCAAAACAGACAATACTGAAAATTCTCATTAACATCAAATGCACATACTATGCTAATGTCATAGACTTCCATATCTCTTCTATGTTGGCCTCTGTCAGCTGTCTGCGGTAGACGAGACGGCAAGCTGGCACCTCTCCAATGGCAATACTGTGACGCTTGAACCACATTTCAGAGTTCTAATTGGGGGGGGGGGGGGGGGGTAGAAATAAAGAAAGAGGGCAAATATTTCAATAGATAGTGGTATGATTTTATCAGAAATTTCTTTGACTTGGTTTTTGTAATTTGATTTAAGATAATAACTAGAAATATAAACAAACTTTCTTTGCATGGACTACAGAGAAGTGAAATATAACTCCTAAGGATCAGGTCACATTATAAATGAGTATTCATAAATTACAAAAGAACGATGGCAATAAGCATGACATTGACTATTTTTTCCTTATGGGAATTCCAACTAATCAATGATGTAACCATGAAATAAAATTCAGAATTAAGTAAAATACCTATCCATATTTACACATTGTCCAAATGTAGTAATTGTTTAAAACAAACTTAAAGTCTATTACTTTCAGAAAAAGACTTTTATTTTTTTTGCTTTATACAAGTAAAAAAATAAAATAATAAAAAAATAAAAAAGCAAGAAAAAGGCAGGATAAAACAAAAACAAAAACCAATAAGCAAAGAGGAGGCAAAAATAGAAACAGGGAAAGTAAAATAGAAGAAACAAATAGCAAGCTGAAGTTAAGAAAGATGAACTGTTTCTTTATTGACTATGAACCTCACCATTCTAAAACCCACATCAAGGCACAAGTAGGTAAACAGATCCTGCCCTGTCCAGTCTTCCTTTGGACACTGCTCAAGAAGCAGCAGCCAAAATTTTGCTGGTATTACAATAAGCAGAGAGTGCAAACCTCTCCTACTTCATTTTGTTTTATACAAGCATCAAAACAAACATAGGTACAGACAACGAGGGAAATTACAAGCTTTAGGAGAAAACGGCTGATGAATCTAGGACACTGGTATACCCACTTCAGGGCTCCTGGAAAATTAGAAAGTGAAAACAGTAGATACAAGTCATTGTCATTGGAGCATTAAAATGTGCTAATGAGTACTTGGTTCTATAGATGATAGGAGGAATATTACAATTTCATAGAACCAGGTAGAATACAAAAGGGAAGTACTATACTTATGACATAAATACATGTTATTTTAATATAGGATTTTATCTCTTGTACAAACAACACTAGATGACCTTATAAAGAAAAAAGGTCTGTTGAATAAAAACTCTACCAATGGGGTCAGGTTAGATGTTTAAATGCAAATGTTCACTAGAACTATGTTTCACTAGACTATGAGCCTTTTTAGTGTTAAAACTGTCTCTGTGGGAGGACAAGATGGCGGGGAAGTAGGAGGAGGCGCCTTTTCTACCTGTACCCTAAAGTGAGCTGATTACCTACCAAAGAACTCCGATCACCCATGAAATCAGCCTGAGATCAGAATTATACACGTCTGGATCTCTACAGGGGCAGAAGATGCCAGTGGGCAGGTAAAGCGGAGTGGGAAGGGCGGACTGATATCTGAAGATAAACAAAAGGGGGAGGGAGCCACCAGAGGTGACCGGTTGGAAAGTAATAACCCTAATATGAGCGAGAGTGCCCCGCGTCTGGGGACCAGCATTAACTTGGAGACTGGTTGAAAGCACTCCAAAAGAGCAAAAGATCGCGCGGGGGAAATTGTGGGAATCGGGGCGGCTAGGGACTGGGGCTTAAGTCCCCGGTCCCAGGACAGCCTCCCCTGGTGCTGAGCCAGAGAGAGTGCAGCGGAGAAACCAGGTCTTGGTCCCTGAGCCGCCAGCGCGCGCCCGAGGGTTCTGGCCCCTGTGAGGGGATGGGAGCCACGCCACCTGACGGCAGAACGCGCGAGCCCTGCTACAGAGCCTGAGATGCGCGCGCCCCTCATCTTCCCCTGAGAGAGGTACAAAGGCCCAGCCGGCGCTCTTTGACACGCGCCATTGTTTCACAGCCTAAGACGCGCGCCCCAAACTCTCCCCTGAGAGAGGTGCGCAAAGGCCCAGCCTGGTGCTTTCGGACCTGTGCCCCGTTCTCAGAGCCTGAGACGTGCTCGCAACCCACAGCCTCCCTGAAAGAGGTGCGCGCAAGCCGGGCACTCTTAGACCCAGAAAGACCAGGCACTCCCAGCCCGGGCCAGCGGGAAAATCTCTGTGTGCGATTGCTGCTTGGAACCTCTCTGGCGGTCTGGAGCTGCCCAAACAGCTGCAGCAGAAGATCCTGCGTCCCCAGGGACCTCGACTGGGAACCTGCTCTGACAGCGGCCAAGGGGGGATTTATATGGGCTCTGCAACACCCACAGAACAGACTGAGGCTTCTCTCTGAGAGGGAGGTCAGGATGAAGTTTGCTTTCCTCTAAACCTACAAAAACCATCAAAAGCGGTCAAGGCGAGAGGAAAAAAAAAAAAAAAGGTGAACAAACAAAAACCTCCAGAGAACAAAAGCCTGAAAAAAACCAGTTTCCTCAGAGCCCACCCCCTTGAGGGGGACTGGAGGACTTAACTCAGGGAACATCATTGACTGAAAACCCACATGGCAGGCCCCTCCCCCAGAAAACCAACCAGGAAAGGAAAAAAAAAAAAAAAACAAAACTACAAGAGAACCACCACCATTACTTCATAGGACAACTTTTATTTTTAATTTTTCCCGCTATTCTGGCTAATTTTTTTTATATAGATAATTTTTTAACCTATTTACCATCACAGCGAGCTGTCCAGTACATCAAATTCCATAATAACCTTCTAACCTGAACTTTTTGATACATACACTTGTGTTTTTCTTTTGCATTTCTATTTTTTATTTTTTTTAATTTTAGCTTAGTTTAGTCTAGTTTATTCCTTTTTTATTTTTATTTTCTAATATTCATATAGAGTTAAAATTCAAAGTAATCCCCTTCCCCCAATCAATACTACCCCTATAGGTAAA